GTGTACTCGGTGTGTTCTCATCGGAATACCGAGGGCATCGCGGAGATCTTACTCTCATACACCGGATAGTAACTGAAAGCGAGAATCCATGTACATCACTGTTGACGCCAGACCCTTACAAACAAAGCCGAGGCAACCACCTGAAACTAATGACGCAACACTCCCGTCTGAATTGTAGAAAGCATTTTTACTCACTTAGAATCTGTTCTCACTGAAATGCATTACAGAGATATGTGGAGAACGCACCAGACATGACGACATTCGAAAGACTTAGTTTCATCTTAGTGCTAAACGCTACACAGCATTTCGATAAAGTGCAATGGTTTAACCACTGATACTTCATGTTCCACTTTGGAACATTTTGATTTTAATTGTTTTTCCATATCCATCCTGTGGATCTTGTAAAGTTATGCTTTTTGTCCCATCATAGACTATTGATCTATTGAAAAGGTACCGTCTGATTGATAGACTGTCCATGAAATCTCATTTGGAGCCGTTGCTGACTGATATGTTCACGGTGAACGCAAAACATGGCCCAATTAAAACACATAACGCACGGTATGTTGATGACACCTTCGTACTTTGTGGATCCTAGGAGCATGCGGTAAAGTTGCTGAGCGCCTTTACCAATGTAGATAAAAATCTACGCTTCGCCCGTGAACACGAATACGGAGACGGATTACCTCTCCTGGATGTAGAAGTTATCCGTAACTCGGACGGATCGTGTAGCAGAAAGGGACACAGAAAGCAAACATGGACTGGGCTGTACACTAACTTTCACAGCACAACACCTTTGCAGCATAAGGGGAGCCGAAAGCGATCTCTCGCCTTCAGGACGCGCAGTATTTGCACTCCGGATACCGTCAACGAAGAACTAGAGAGAATCAGAGAGAAAATGGCTACCCTAACAAATTCATCACGAAGCGTTTGAAGGAACAAAATAGAAAGCCACCTAAGAGCACTGCTCCCAAGAAAGTGATTCTCATACATTTAGCACTTATGGCCGATTCTGTCAGTATCCTCGGAAGGGCTAAAAGCCGGCAAGCACATGAGTTCATTGAAGCCTGGCATTCAAAGCAGAACTCGATCAATAAGCACTTGGACATTGAAATCGCTTACGAGGCACTGCGAACCAAGCCCCAGAAGCCGCACTGATGATGTTGCCTAGTCAGGCAACGAAACGTCTGCACAACAATCACTCAGCTCGGAGAACCGCTCAAACTCCGCATCCACACCCCGAGCTACGGATATTCTCATTTATTTCAAATCTGATATCTTTTCTCGATACCCCAAAAGGTGCCGTTGAGCAAAATTATTTCGCGGCCCACTCGAGGATTGGTTACCGCAACAAGCGAATGCCTGAAAAACCCTTGCAATATAGACTGCCATCTTTGACCAGTTCCATGCTTGTTTATCAGTACTCGTGCTCCTGTGTTGCATGATACGTAGGTCGCACTACTAGTCGCCTGTCTCAGAGGCGTTGCGACACATCGCAGCGTGGTTTTACAAAGGTTAAATATGGTCTTCAAACAGCTCAGTGATATCCCACCTCCATGAATGTGGCCATACAGCTTCTGAGAATAACTTCAAAGTCAACTGCTCACTGTCTGAATGATTCTGGCTACGATTCCGCTAGTAACCCTTATCCATTGCCTAGGCTAGTTACATCCACTATCTGAGGCCAGAACCGTGTGTTCTAAATGCAAACGGTCGATAATACCATAGTGGCCAACAGACATGGTTATGTATCTATCTGGTTGCTACTTTAATTAGTTACTTTGAACTATTTCGATTTATGCATCAACGTTCATTTAGTTCACTTGGCATATAACCTATAGCCCTGCCATAGGTTCTTTGTTATTGACCGTTCGAACACCTTAAAAGTCAGTCCCCAGCCCGATTTGACGCTTTTCACAGGTAATCCGTGCTATGTAAACATCTGGGTCTGATAAGAATCTCGAAGAGAATTCTTAACCTTGAATTAATTTCTGGTCCTGATAGTTGTTACTTATTTTCCAGCCTCAAGGTGCCCTGGACGAAGGGTGAACTTCGTCTATCACCTAACATCACAAGCTTATCTAGTCGAACCCACTGTTAGCATGCCGTTTATTGTTAATGGTACTGAGAGGGCTATACGGAATGTATGCATCCACCAGGTTTCCTCTTCTTTCTGGGCTATTAACTTGCAATTGTCGTTCTCTCATGAACTATTTATTTTAAGCCCATATTTCTGTTGTACATACTGTTTTGCCAGGTGCTTTGTACAAGTTCCGCCAGAGGCCTTTGTTTCCTTATTTGGGAAGGGACTGAACCGTGACTCGAATAGTTGTATCGGTTATCCGTACCATCAGCAAACAACAATAAACAATGATGTATCAGGGATTAAATACAAGCGCTTGACACTTTCCCATTGAATGGCTGGGGTGAATACAATGAACTCAAAATACACGTGAGTCGTCTACCGAGCGTCTACCGCGATAAATGCGTTGGTAAATAACGTTCGTGTAAAATGAAAATCTTGTTTGAGCAAACAGAAATACCTGGGGTGCAGTGATCATTGACGCGAAGCGATCACTGCACCCCGTGTATTGCTGTATACCTACTCGACTTTTATGGTAAACCAACCTTATTTACCAACACAATTATCTCGGTAGACGCTTGATAGCTGACTCAGATAGCAGTGTGCATTACTAGTGGACAAGCAGCGTGCAAGCAGACACTAGACCCAGTCGTCCTATGTGGGGGGTGAGAAGCTTTGGGTCGTTGATATCAAAGAATTATGTATCAGCTTCGCAGCCAAAAGCGTGTCTATTGGAATACGGCCATAATGACTGGAACGTTCTGCTTCCAAAGCGAGGCACTTTCTCAACTGTGACTGTGCAGTGTCATGCAGACCGATAGTGCGTACCACTTTTCCACCAAACATTGGAAGCGTGAACTGTGTACTTCTCAGGTATTACCTAATCAGTTCCAGTGCGGTTAAGCCATGGTTACATGCACAACCCGAATACACCTTTTCTACTCTTCCCGTGGACTGCATACGACGAGGCCCTTATCGTTCCATTTCCCGACTGGATAAGTGTATACAAGTAGCACCCGTCATAAGCGCAGAGAGAACGCCGACCAGCATCGGAAGTGATGCATACCTTATCGAACAGTTCAATTCATCGCACCTAAACCACAACGAGGTCTTTATGGAGTGAGGCGTGCGTGCATCGCGTTCGATAAGTGCCCAGATTATGCCCTGTGAACACCAGCATTGGATGGTAGCGGGTTGAGCTGATATACATACGTAATTTCGATGACGAGACAGTTCATTTCTTGGGACGTTTGGAAAGGCGTGTGAAACTGATGTGAGAACAGACGAAGCGCACGGCAAGCCAGCGTCAGACCCAAGTGGAGTGACGGTGGTGTGATTCCAGCAATTATGTGTCGGCGTGTGCATCAGATTTGAGCATACGTCAACTACAAAGCTATATGTGTTAGTAGACGACTTGACAATAGAATTCCTAGCGGGTGTGGCTTATTGTGTTCTTTCATGTTGGAGGTTTCGGGCTACTAGCGGTTGGACCATAACAGATGTGGGTCTGTTACACTGGCCTTTCCCACATTAAAGGTGCCGGAGATTTGGGAGATGGCATAACGAAGCCGAAGCCGACCTCAGGACATGCAATCGGGGACATCTTTGTGACCAATTGTTGATGTGACAGTACAGATGACGGCATATCACAGGTAAATTCTAAAAAAAACGATGGTAAATTACGAGAAGTAGCAAAGTAACTGCGTGGTTGTGAGGTGATCGATCCTATAGGGAGACATTCTAAACCCGTTCTTATTGTGGTTTACGTTATCGCATAGAGTGACCGCAGTTCGTACATAAGTGAGAAGTGACACTCTCTCGTCATCAGCATCCAGCTCGCTAGTTTAGGGTTGTATGAAGAGCCGCGCTTGAGCACAACTGCGTATAAGGGTGCTTCAGACACCGCCTTCTTGACCGTATTATTTCCCAGAAGTGAGCATGCAGAAGTCCTACAGAGTCTGCCTGTTATCCTGGAAGCGAGCGGTCAGGCAACCCACAGTGCACTAAATACACCGTCATCGGCTACGTTGGTTACTTAAGAAGCAGGTCACTAAAGCGATCTTCGACCAATTCCACCTGTTCTGCACCACCTCCCCCCACACTTAAGTCCGTCGCTCGTCATTCCAGTCAATCAAAAGCATTGATGGTGAACCCCTGCCGCCCAGAAAGGTGTATCAACGCTAGCCACAACAAAGCGCGCCACGACAGCCAGTGATAAACTGTACTAGCTCTTGAATATCATTTGCCCCGCATCGTAACCGACTACAAAGTAACTAATGTAGACTAACTCGCACATTCTACGACAAGACACCAACAACAATTGAGGTAATAACAGGTGGCATACTCCCCAAGACATTCGGATGCTAGACTCAAACTGCTTATTGTAGTAGTGCAGCCTTGGATGTACTTACGGCTCAGTAGTGTCGTATGACCATTTCCACCGGAGTCAACTAACCTCGGAACAAGCTACAGTGGGCGAGATGATACTTCTAAGCCACACGGTGTGTAGCTGCGACGAGCTGATGTGTGGGCACTTCCGCTTTAACGGACGTGAAAAATCAGACAAGATGATGGACGGCATGTCCGTCATTCCACTAGCATGCCACCTTCCAGGTTGCACCGACATCGTCAACATTCTTAAGCCCGTAACCCCACACCTTACTGTGGGGGCAGTTGCGCCAAGGTCGTGTCTGCCCTAGTGCGTACGACAGCCAAGGCAGCAGCGTCCGTGCTTTAGGCTATGGCGCACAACGCGCGAAAAGCGCGATTGGCCGGTTAGCTGGCAGGTGGCATGTCTAGGTACGATCAGATGACTAGCGATTCTGAGAGCGTGAACGGACAGCCCAGCCAGCCCCGGTTGATACATTGGACGGCGGAAACAATAGACCGACGCCGTAGCCTGTCTTAGCCAATGGGAACAAGGAATCAGTTGGCTTGTCAATGCTGGCACGAATCAGGCCACAATTCAGTTTCAGTCGCCCAAGCCCTCGCATCTGAAGCCTGGCTTGCGTGCCGGAAAAATGGAGTTTGCAACGCAGTTCAACCCGTTCGCAATGACGTCACTAGGACTCCTAGACAATCTATGTCAATCCTTATCGCAGGCCCCATGCGGCGCCTCACCAATGACTACGGGTCGGTACTTTGTGCTCACAAACTTGGATGAACTTCCTCGTGTGGTAGCGCAAACGGGAAGGAAGCCAGAATTCTGTATCCTCTCGTTCAGCTTGGATCAGCCTGCAGCACCTCAGCCAAGCTTCGATGTAATGACTGCGCTCGAGTCCCTTTTAGTGCAGATGAGATCTGACGTTCGGTGGAGCGCACCCGTTGGGACGACTGGTCAAGCATACACCGACGGGAAACCGGATGCACGTTCCACAACGGATTCGACAAGTAAAAGTCAATCAAGCGGCGTGAATGAAACACCCTCGTCAAAAATAGAGAAGATTACCGATGCTTCAGCCCAGGCGGACGCGGCGCGCGCAGACCATGAGAGGATGGAACGTGTAAAGCCATTCCGGTGCTCGTTTGATGGATGCACGAAGGCGTATTACTCTCATGGCCACCTCGTAGAACACTCTCGTATTCACACAGGTGTGAAAGCTTTGGTTTGTCCGTTTCCCGACTGTGGAGCTCGTTTCATGCGATCCGACCAGCTCAGCCGACATCGGTTAAAGCACACGGGGGAACGGAAGTTCGCATGCCCCCACTGCGATAGACGCTTCATGAGAAACGACCATTTAAAGAAGCACATGCTAACAGCATATCGTTCGAAAACATCCCAATGATATTTTCCCCACGGAGAGCGATGTGTACAGTTTCTTATTTTGTTCGAAAGAAGTAAAGATCGATTGCAGTCAATTTTGTATCACTTCTCTATCGTCCTGTTTCGGTGGCAAAGATCCTTTGGGATTGGGCAAGTGGCACGGTTCTAGTGTCCACTTGTGCGTGCTTGGCCTTTTCGTCCGTAGTTCATCGTGTTACAGTGGGGACATGCTGAGGTTGGATGTACCCTTAGTGTTCAGCACGCTGTATCTAGCAACGGGTCAGGGATCTATTGTTGGGTTTGGGAATATCTGCTCTGTTCTTGAATTGCAACATGAAACTACAGTGGTTATCGTTCAGAAATCGCTCCCACAGGAGGTGACTGTCAGCTGAAGTTTTACTGTTGGCTGGATGTGAACTATATTAAATCATCATCCGACGCAGTACCAGTGATCTGTTGTCTGTGGTTCCGTTGGTTAGATGGGGTGATGTATTCGGCAATGCGAAAAAGCTCACACTGCTGTTCTTGCAACTGGGCGATTTAACCTGTCTACATTCTTCTGTAGGCTACGACGCGTCCTGCCACATCGGGCAGACAAATTGCCTGTCGCACTTCATTTGGGCCAAGTTCAAATGAGTCCGACTCTCAGATGACTAAGCGGGTTATCAAAGCCAAGTGTTTCGTTCTTGCAATATTGCAGTCGTCAGGTAGAGAGAGTAACTCAACAGCATGATGTAGAGATTGTTAGCCGAAGCCTTTTCTCCTAAACCTCTAAGTCGCAGCGGACAACTGGGAAGTCATTTTTGAAGCACTCGTATTGCGAATGAGTTAGTGTGCGCAATACGATCATAGTTCCTCATTCTTCACTAGGGCTGATCCGTTTGGATGCGTTGTAATTAGCAAACGTACTCACCTGTTGATCGTTTCTCCGAGCTTGATAAAGGGATTGCATACGTTTCACCACCATGCGAGGTGGTATCTTCAGTGTGATGATATGCAGTGTACAATCCTGCTTATTGAACCATCAGTCCGTAATCGACGGGTAGGTGACTTTTGGTGGCAATTTCGATTTGCGCCCATTTGCTTCCGCGGCTGAACCATGTCTTTCTATTCGCCTGAGAACTTTCTGAGCTGGTCAGGGTCGATGTCGATGCGCAGGTTGATCGAATTATTTTAGGAGTACCATGCTTCTAGGAATTCTCTTCCTTTCTGTGTCGTTTGAACTAGAATCTCCGTTTTGTTCCAATTGAAGCTATGTCCCTCCTCATCCACATGCGCTGAGACAAGAGACGATGCATAATCTTTTTTACAAGCCCCCTGATATTCTTACATTCTTATGGATAGTTTCCTTCCTGTCTGTCCCACATAGTTCATTTCACAATTATTGCAGTTTATTTTACACACCACGTTTGTTAGTTCTTGTACTTGCCGAATGTCCTTTGGGCTTGACAGTATTCTCCTCAAAGTAGCGGTTGGCTCGTGAGCGACCACGATGCGGTGTTGTTTGAGCAATCTAGCAGTCATTTCAGATAGGTTCTTCATATACGGCAAAACGACACTGTTGCTTGCATGTGGTCTCGGCTCGGTGTTTGTAGGTTTATGGTTTAGACATCTGCGGATGAAGCTGCGTGGGTATCCATTGCGCTCAAACGAATCAAACTGATGTTTCTATTTTTCCTGTTTGGCTTCCGTTGTAGTGCAGTGTGGTTTCAATCCTGCGAGACAGTGTCCGCACGTAGCTTATTTTGTGGCACATTGGGTGGTTGCTGTTGAAGTTCAAAATTTGGTCCGTATGTGTGCCTTTCCTTTGAACGAATGTTTGAAATCCACCATCCTTTGTTCCGGTCACTAACACATCCAAGAATGGGAGTATGTTTTCTACCTCTAACTCCATTGTAAACGGAATCCCATCCATTGCATTGTTGAGTAGTCGGTGTGCGAGTGCTACTTTACTGCGTTTCAGTATTATAAATGTATCTTCGACATAGCGTACCCACAACTTAGGGTTAATAGCTGGTAGTAGATCTTCGTCCAACTTTTGCATGACGATCTCAGCGATCAGACCTGATGCTGGTGATCCCATCGGTGTCCCCTTCACTTGCTCATAGATCTCTCCGTTGAACCAGAAGTAAGTTGTGAGGCATAGTTGGAAGAGCTTGCAAACGCTTGCGGCCATCATACTCCCAATTTTCTCTTCTTTATTGTTCAGGCGTTCTACGATGGCTTCTTTTGCCAGTTGCAAATTGACAGATGTGAATAAAGCGGTGACATCGAAGGAGACTATCGTTTTGTCATGATCTATATGCAGGTTCTTGAGCTTCTCTAGAAATTGGTTGACGTTGCTTACGGAGTGCTGCAATCCATTGAGTAGATGTTTGAGGTGTCCACACAAGTCCTTTTCCAGATTGTAGGTGGGTGTATCTGGAAGTGAAACAATTGGCCGCAACGGAGCACCCATTTTGTGAACTTGTGGAAGCCTGTAGAATTAGGCGATGTTCGAGTCACGGGCTCTCATTTTCTTCCTTTCAGTTTCTGTAATTTCTTTCAACTGTTGGAGTTCATGCAATGTTCTATTTATTTGGTTTGTTATCTGTGATGTCGGATCGTAATTAATGCGCCTATATGTGGTTGTATGGTTCAGAAGTTGTTTTGCTTTCTCAATATAATCTACCTTATCCATTATGATTGTCACACGTCCTTTGTCTGTAGGAAGGATAACGATTGACTCGTCGGATCTCAGGGCTTTTATTACTTCTTGTTCTTGTCGAGCTAGGGCATTGTACTGCTTGACGTGTGTCATGGCAGGAAAGATTGTGTGTCGGATTTGCTCCTTAATCTCTTCTCCATGCCCATTTGACCGTAGAGCGTTTTCGAATTCCGCTAAAAACTCTGTGGTTGCCGCGTCTTGGCAATTGTAGTTCAATCCTTTGGTGAGTATTTGTTGCTCTGTCTCACTAAGCGTACTTATCCGAAGTTGTCGCAGGGTCCGGTCTGCACGACCCCCTCCCTTGATTGGTTCAAATGGTCGCATGGGTATGTAATTCCTGTCATGCAAGTATGTTCGTCATTCCCTGTCATATTAACATCCTTTTTGTGTCTGGGATCGATCGAATATCTTTTCGGCTGGCACCATGATACCCTGGACGTCAGTGAGTTCATGCTTACTGGTCAAGCTGTCACAGTTCGTCTACCAAAGATCTCGTGCACTGAGCTCCAACCAGCTTTGGCTTCCACTATGTTTTTCCTGTCCAAGTAAATCTGTGTGGGTGGATCTGCTTCGTTACAGACCACTTCTGGCGTGCTCTTCTTAACTTGAACTACTTTCAATCTCTCCGATAGTGAGAACAGCAAGAAGCGCTGGAACCGGAGCGTATCCGACTCGACAGGGCCATAGCTTTCATAAAAACTCAATGGTAAAAGTGACATAGTGCAAACAAATGCAGATCGTGTAGTTTCACGTCTCGATCCGAATTTGGTCAGACCTGCTCTGCATTTCAGATTGGTTCTCAAACAAATGCAGAAAATTTACGCATTTGGCTCCAGCAGTCTTCAGCTATATTCGAGCGGATGAGATTCAAGGGACCCGTTCCTCAAATCCACTTAGCGCTGTCCGCTTACACGGCTTTTACTTGGACTAGTGGCAGAGGCGAACGATGCCGGACTTTTCTCTCCTCATTTTGGGCCTGCAGTTGGTCGCCTTTTGAAGGGAGCATAGCAAAGCTCAGGGACTAGATGTAAACTGAGCAATGGTTGCGTACGCACGGCTTGTCAGAAAATGACCGCATAAGTGTTGTAATTGCCAGTCACTTCCTCACGTAGTACTGGGGTGGGGCATGTGTGCTAGATGTAGTTATGATCGAGGCACGGCATGGCACCCTTACTCTAACATATTTATTTTGACAGACACTGTTGCGGTTCGCTGAAATAAGAGTTGCTCCGTTTTAACAGAGTAGTCACTCCTTGCTACCAGGAGTATCATTTGAGTCTAACGCTATGACAGACGTGTGCGTGTCTAGCCCACTTACAAGTGCTTGTTTATGGGAGATGGTGCAACGTGGGCTAACCGTCGCAACAAGACTCGACCTTCACGTAGAGTCACGGCTTGCGTAACTTGTCAACCCATTTTGCTATACTGGGTGGGGCCCCTGGGCCCCTTGACAGCTACTCTTACCAGGTTGGTCAATGTTTGGAAGTCAGACGAACTCAGTCTCCTGGTCCTCCAGATTATGGACCTAAAATGAGATTGTGTCCATTTGCATAAAACAGAATCGTGGCCACATCCGCCGCCTTGCAGACAGGCTTTTGAGCCAAAGACTTTGGTTGAAGACCCTAATCGTTCTCCTGTCTAGGTCTGGGCGCCCTGGTAATATCCTAGCCTACATACAATCATGACTACTTATGCAAACTGCAACTACATCCTGCATCGGCCGTCGCGCAGATTATCAGCGGTCATCTTACTGGCTGCATTCAGCAGGGCGGATAAGCGAAAACAAGCTACTACTGGCGCCTCCCTTCTTTCTTTTCCATCTGTTTCTCTTACTCCCATCCCGACCCCCATTACTAACCTTCCTTCTACAATTCCCAGCTTAATTGACAGCAGCCGTGATGTCACTGGAGTCAAACCATACACAGCTATCTTCCTCACCACCAACTGGACGCCAATCGCCAACAATTCCTTATAAGACCACACCGTCCCATTTCTCTGGCGGTGTTCACTGTTCGCACTCTAAGACAAATAAGTCAACAGACCACGCACGCCCATTGGACACACTGGGCATATAAATGTTTTGCGTGTCCGAAACTAGCATAAATAACCCTTACGGAGTTGTTGAACTAATTGCACTCGGTTTGTCCTCTCACCATTGGTTGCACACATCCGGTGACTCTGGTGCGGTATCCTCTGATCCCGCTGGGGTGGACATCGTTCTCACCTCCAAAACTGACTGGATTCGCGTGAGCTGGTTTGACGAGAACAACTATCGTTGATACACGAACTAGTATGAGACGCTGTTTGTTGGTGGTTTTCATAGACTGCAGTTCTGACACTGCAATGGGCATATTCAACTACGAACTGAAGACGAGACTACTCAGTGTT